CCAAATTATGCTGAAAATTATGCTAGCATAATCGGGAAAGGCCTAAAAACGGGCTCCAAATATACTCGAGTGCAAACCGAACAAATTAGAAAGCAGTGAATATGCGCAGATGAAATAAAATGCCAATATCCCAGCCTCGTACCCAGGCGCAAATAACTAAAAATAGCCACACTACAGTGTATTTATATAGTTATATAGATCAGTAGCTAAAATGAGCAAGCGCGCGGGGTGCTCGCTCAGCTTAGCCACTGATCTATATAAAAACACTGTAGTGTGCCTATTTTTAGTTATTTGCGCCTGGGTACGAGGCTGCAAATAGTGCAAAAAAAATGCACAAAAGCCCAACAGCAGCGCATGAATATATTGCCTTTGCGCATGCTCGAAAATTGTTTTGGCGGAAAATGTCGCTCCGCGTGCAAAATTCTGGCTAGTGGAAAACGGACCGGTATCTAGGCTAGATGCATTTCCTTTTGACCAATATAAATTTTTGGGATATTTATAAATAAAAATTGTTTTAGTAACGGCATATGAGATAACCTATTCAAACCTATTTTAACCAATCTGTTTTTACAGTGTGTGTTCGGTATGTCGGTATGCACTGTCATTTGGTCCAGTGATGAAATGGAAGGAGTCCGCTGACAAGAGTACTGGCGGTGAGTAATCAGAGGCTCGTTTTCGACAGCTGTGGATTAATTGTACTATTCAATTTAGGAACACGTATGACAATTTGGAATTTTCGATTATAGATTTATGTCTCGCTATTTATGAATGCTAACCGTAATCCTCCCCCTGACCCTAACCCTAACCGCTAACCCTAACTCATCAAACAGCGAGACATGAATCTATATCCGAATTTTCTCAATACCACAACCGCATTCACGAAATATTGGAAAGTTTATTAAATACTGTCACAGAGAATATCCCCATGCACGCAACCAAGTCCGTTTTGTTTTCAGGGCCGGCACTACTGAGGAAGGGGGGGGGGGGTAACACCCTCAAAGCGAAAAGAAAAAAGGGTGCCCAACTTGGCCAGAGAGGCCCCGGAATGCTGGAATTGTGGAACGTGTTAAATATTAAGAAATTTTCTGGAAAATTTAGGTCCGAAAAGGTCTGAAAAAGTATTTTACAGCCCCAATTATCTAAATTAGTCCGGAAAATTTTTTTTGAGGGGGGCCTGAAAAGGGGGCCCAAATTTTTTAATTTACCCCTCAGATACCCGCTCGGGACGGCCCTGTTTGTTTTGCAATTGCTTCAGCTTGAATACCCCATTTCTCTTCCTTTCATGCCTCGTCATCGATTTACGACCGAACGTATATATCAGTTCCAGCTGTCAATTTAGTTATTTATGTTGAAATGGCTAACGGCAGTACTAAGCAAAGTGAAATTATTCTGGAAAACATTTGGCTAAGAAGAATTCAATTATTCGCATTCAAAATAACGATGAATTTTGTTTAGCTAGGGCTTTAGCTGTTTCCATTTCGAAAATTGAAAAGGATAGTCGGTATCGTCATGCACTCAGTATCAAAGATTCAAAGACGGTTGCAAACACGTTATTAGCACACGAATTACATCAAAAACCCGAGTTCCAATAGGCTCTTGCGGTTTAGACGAAGTCCAACTCTTTCAAACGTATTGATCTGATTATCAAATCAATATCTTTTCAAAAGAACATCAAAACACGATCATTTTGAATATTATCAGCATAACCATTCAACTTGGATGGTAAATATTGGTTTAAAATTAATTGCCATTACCATTCAACCTGATTTAATCATAACCATGGTTCACTTTAATCGAACTTGTGCCATATGGTTCACTCCGGCACCCGGCCTCAAAGCAGCTACAACGAATTAATGTTCTTTGATTTTGAATGTCGCCAGGAAAACGGGAACCATGAATCAAATTTGTCCGTGATTCAGAACGAGGCCGGTGGCGGTGATGAATGGGTATTTCAAGGAGACAATACGAGAAATGAGTTTTGCAAATGGCTTTTTACGAACGAATATGCGAACTGTACCGTACTGACACATAACTTCCAAGGCTACGATATTTATTATATTCTTTAATATTACACGGGAACAGTGTTGTTTTCGAAGTTATCATGCGCGTTGTTTACAACAATGCTATGATATGTAGCACAATAATATTTTCTGTTCTATACAGGTCGCCTGTGTCCCTGGGCTACTCTATTTCCAATTTCAAGCCTCACCGCAGCGCTGCCGTTGGAACTATCGTAAAAGGCCCTACGAACAACTTTGTTGGTCAGTTGCCCATTGGCATTCCGTGGAACTAACACATTAGCGTATGTAGTACTCGTAACTCCCTTATCTTTACGTGACACCCCGTTTCGTTGCACCTGCAAGTTGTGGTAATGCTGACCATTCACTCTCACCATCCCTTGCATGTCAAGGCGGAAATTCCTCGCAGGTGAATTGGCCAATGTCCCCGCATTCTGAGTAAAAACTGATTTGCAGTAATACTACCCATGAACCTATCTAGGTCGGTTCTTACATCTCGGGGGAGCTGATTACGGTTGGCGATTTGCGCATCATAATTCATGTGAAATGTCACTTGCTTGTTGTTATTTGTGGTGCCACCTGGGTATTCTAGCGGTCGGGCCGCTGCACGAATCGACCTCTCTCCAACATTAAAGACGTCTTCGTCGTGGTATTCATGACTCGTGAAATGAGCTTCATCTGTCGCCGGATAGGTTGAATGTTGCTCTTCAGGAATTTGCTTGGAACATACAACGACGACCATCAGCAGGAAACCGAACGCTTTTGCCAATTTATCACCAGTCATCGCTAAAAAATATGTTGTATGTTAAATAAGAACCTTATAAAAACCCAGTCCATTTCGCGGCTAATGCAATTATACATATATAGCATTTCCATTTCATGCAATTCAGCGAGCAACTTCGCCTTCGGAAGCATGCAACAACTGGGATTCTGGCTAGATGGAACAATGAAAATGTTGAAGTAATAGGCGAAGCTGGCCATGCTAAGGGCAGATCTCTTAGCCAGTACATCACGCTCTCACTAGTAGTCAACTAGATATTTGTTGGCCTTTTGTGCATTTGTGTCTTGCAAAATTATTGTCTGTACTACATGATGCATCTTTTGTAGAAAACTCGTCAGCTATATACTATATGATCTTAGAGATTGTTACCTGTTATTTGCTGTTAAAAATGATCAGGTTAAGAATAGAGTATCGATATCTGACAGTAATAAAAAGTTGTTGTCTAGTTCATCCTATTGTTTACTAAACTTTACCAGTGTAAGATTTAATGATTATATATAACATCACAAAACAATCACGTGACATTTTTTATCTCAGGCACTTTTTAGGAGTGATTTGCCCCTCGTTCAAAAAGATTATTATTTCCATGGAATCAAGTTGAAACCAGAGTAAGCAAACAAAATAAAGTGATGTATTTTCTTAAAGTGCGACTATACCCCTAATATGATTTTTGGTATATGTAATAATATTTGGGTCATTCGAAGAAGAAATGTAACATATCTTTATAATAAAAAATCCCATCTTGATCAACTTTTTCACTGTCAAAGTTTCTGGACATGATGTCATTTGGTGCATGAATTGCAAATTAGTTTTCCTTTGTTTTTTTTTACCAAAAATTCACCTAATGACATCTATATCTGGAACTTTGACACAGTGAAAAAGTTGATCAAGATGAGGTTTTGTACTAGCTATAAAGATACATCACATTTCTTCTCAGAATGACCCAAATGTTATGTACACATTTCAAAAATTATATTTGGGTCGCATGCTTTCATTTCTTTATATACATACTTGTTATATAGTTCGTGTTAAAGTTCAATTTTTCTGTTTGCCGATTGGTCAAAACCGTGTCACGTGCCGGTCCACAAAACGTCATGTTCGGCAACCGGTCCGCAATCAAACATTTATTGACCGGTCAATAATAAAATGGGTGCAATACGCATGCGTGTCAACCATAAAGTTCCAAAGTTCATTTTTAAAACTTTTTACTAAACATTTACGGCGTTCTATTTATCCAGTTTTGGTTTCAAATTAAGTTCACGATGAATTATTCATACTTTGACACTTATATACTATATAACAAAACACTTCAAAACAACGGCGGTCTCGGGTCCACAAAACACACTGTTTCCCTCGGTCTCAGTAAATAAGTGATAAATGTATGCTTGGTTATAGAAATTATTATAAACTGTTAAGAATGACTCAGTACTGATTAAGTATAGATCTTCGTACAGCAATGGAATTGTTGTCTTTACTAAACTCTAGATAATAATGACACTGCAATATATCTGCAGGATTTAATCATTTTATGCCACCAGTATAATAATACTCCGGCCACCAGTAAAATAATACTCCGGCCACCAAGACAAATTAATGGTGGGGCTTTTTTCTGCTTTTTTATCCTTATCTCCCCCTTATATATATAAGATGCATTATGTCTTGTTAGCTTGTATCTCTTGCTACTCTCCTCTCTTATATATATACATGAATTCAGTTAGTATAGCTGCTGATTTAATAATATCTTTAGTGCCTTATAACCTATATACGCGCACGATCAGTTAATATGCATGAAATTAAGTTTAGTCTGTTTAGTAGTTTATATATGTCTGCATATTTTAATAATATATTTTGTTTTTTATCTCTCGAGTCAAGCCCTTTCTCGCATATATATACTCTTTTTGTTTCAATTACTTGAAAAACATTATTAAAAATTTGTTTGTGAAGTTTGTGAAATAAGATATTGTCGTCTGTGGTAACCTAACCTAAGTTACCTAACCTAAACATTATAGGTACTTACTGCAGACAAATTTAACAACAGGTGTGCACACAATGTTTAAATCAACAATGAAAAAGTGTCATAAAAAGAACATATATATGTTACAGTTTAAGTTTTGTGTTTTCTTTGTATCTGTACATGATTATAGAAATTCACGGTTTCAGTCCTCTTTAAAATGATTCAGTGAAGTAGATATTCACACAATGGAAATATTGCCGGTGTGGGAAATACACACACATGTGTAGGATTTAATCATTTTATGCCACCAGTATGCATGATAATACTCCGGCCACCATGCAATATGTAACAATACTCCGGCCACCTATAGACAAATTATAATGGGGGCGGCTTTATAATTTTGCTCGTTATCTCCCCTTACATGAGATGCGTTATTTCTTAATAATTATCTTTAGTATCTTATAACCTATGGCTATACATACGATAAGTTAGTACATGAAATTAAGTTTAGTAGTTTAAATATGTCTTTATATATATTTATATACATCTGTATGACTTATTGCCTCCAGTGAACTCGTCAGAAATTTGTCTGCGATGATCGAAGACTAATGTTTAGTCCTAATTTTAAGACCAATCAAGATTTAAGAATGCTTTTTTTAATCTGCATGTAGTTCATGTATAATACGCAACTGAAACGAACTCATTTTTAATACGGCTAGTCGATCTAGCTTTTAAGTACTTGTGTACCGATGGGCAAATCACTGATTTGAATCACGTACACCCTCAATTAAAAAAAGCACAAAAAATCAAAATAAAAATTTTAAAAATCACAAAAAAAAATAACATGATTTTTTTGTCTCAGTAGTCCGTACACTTTTAGGAGTGAATTTAAAAGAGAATGGAAAGAAAAAAATGTTTTGAAAAATTTTTTTTAAAAATCCTTGAAAAATAAAAGAATCACAAAAAATAAAAACATCACCAACACTTTTTAGGAGTGATTTGCACAACTTAACATATAACAACTTAACGTTTCATACTCTATCTATCTACCTATCTATCTTATTAATATTATATTTCGTTTCTTATCTCTCGAGACAAGCCTTTTCTCGTATGTACTCTTTTTGTTACAACTTGAAAAACATTACAAATTTGTTTGTGAAATTTGCGAAATAATTAAGAGATTGTAACCTTTGGACACACAACATCGTCTGGTGGTATAACCTAACTTCAACATGCATTAGCCCGAGTAAAAGACGTAAATGTCCCAGCTGCTTAGAAAGATTAATGCATTAATTGACATTGTTTAATACTGAAGAGCCATCGAATATTTTTGATTTCCGCATGTTCGTTCAGGAAGCCATATAAAATAACCACAGAATGTACTGTCTATACTTACTGCAGACAAATTTAACAACAGTCGTGGACAAAATTTAAATCTATAAGGAAAAAGTATCATAATTAAAAATAACATAGTGACAGTTTAAGGTTTGTGTTTTCTTTGTATACTGTACATGGTTATGGTGAAATCGTTATACCTGTTTAAAATGATTCAGTAAAGCAGATCTTCACACAGCAATGTCTTTACTAAACTTTAACATAGATAATAATGAAACTGCAATATATCTGCAGGATTTAATCATTTTATGCCACCAGTATAATAATGTCTCGGTCACTAGTAAAATAATACTCCAGCCACCAAGAAAAATTAACGGGGGCCTTTTTGCTTCTTTTCTCCCCCTTATACTATATGTATGA